GATAAATGGATGGATGAATGGATGGATGGATGAATAGATAAATGGATGAATAGATTGATGAATAGATTGATGGATAGATGGATTATAAATAAATGAAATGAAAAATGATGGATGATAGATGGAATGGAAGAATGAAAGGATAGATGGAGTTGCATGGATGAATGAGAGGACGTGTGTATGAATGAGTGGGTGTGTAGATGGATGAATGGAAGAATGGGAGGATAGATGGAGCTGCATGGATGAATGAGAGGATGTGTGGATGAATAATTTAGTGTGTATATAAAAAGAAGGATGGTTGATTGCATGAATGAATGATTCATCAAAAAAACAAACATTCAAGTATGCACAACATGTCAGAACTTGAGTGAGCAAATGGTTAACTAAAAAACACACCTTCCCATTGCTTCAAGTGCTGCCTCTGTTAAATCATAAGTCGGCATGACAATATCCRAAGTCTCTTCTGACCCACACCAAGATAAAACTGGCAAGGGGTTGTTTTTCTTGTTTTCTAACGGCCAATCACCAAGATTGACAAAGAATTCCATATCTGGTAATCTAACCTAAAAACATTGAATTTATTTATATATCACTTTAACTCATGCGAAATATCATTCTTTGAAAGAGAGAACTACAGGTTGAAATGGCACCATTTATTGGTCTAGTTGTAAGAAAAGAGAACACAAATTTTATCAGAGAAAAATGCTCAAATCAACGGAGTAGGCCCAACAAACTCTAGTACTGACATGTCAAAACCAATTTATTTATCTTATTTTCTAAAAATAATCAATTTATTCACATCATAGTGCAAAAGGAGATACACAAGGTTAATAATCCTATCAAGAATATCCCCATGCTAACCATAATGCTAAAAAATCAAACTTAATATTACTCCCATTGGTGAAATGGGAGTGTACTGCCACTATTTCCATAATGTGTTTCAAAATCATAGTACAGATCTATTTTTTAAGAAGTAGAGATTTACCTTTCTTGATAATGACAGTAAAATAGCATCCATGAACATTGAAAAGCCAACATGTTCACCATGAGTCTTGCGATAAACCTTAAAACAGAAGTGAAAATTCTTAGACGTTAAAAACACCTGATACCTACACCTGTAGTAAGTGRTTTATTTATTAACAAATAGTACAGCTTTTCCATGCCCTGTTCTGGCAGTTGTAAAGCACGCAGGGAGTGATGTTTGCAAGAATGAGAGAATAGGAAGAGTTATAGGTGTTATATGGATGGCGCCCATCAGCAACTATGCTCCATTTACTAATAAAGCACAGTTCTCGGCCAATCAGAGCATGAGTAAGTTTTATCTAAGCCAAGTAATAAGACTGACAAACTTCCAGCTTTATATTTGACTGTCATCCAATAATTCTTTATACTTATATTAATTACCTTATTGTTGATAACAGAGTAATGACAAAGGGCATTGTGTTTACCAAATCTTTCAACACCTTCCTTGGCAAGCCTCTTYAAATTGATTTTACTGAATTTCTGTAAGTCTCTATCCATCTGAGAAAAATTATTAGGACACTGCATGGCTTCTTCCCATTTTGTTGTATCAGATTCTGGACAGTAACAGCCTTCATGATATACACCTCCTAGAATATCAAAAAGGATAGGAAAATCATAAAAATACCACTGTTTACATTCATTGCTATAATGCTTTGAGACAAAATATTGCTATAGGTTTATGGACAATACACTACCATCAATCACTTCCCATCAATACTCCTTTTACAGTTCTGTTTAGTGACGAAGAATAATAGTTACAAGTCAAAGTTGAAGTTGCTGCACATGATAAACTATAGTTTTGCTATGTGCGGCACCTCCAACCTCAACCTGGGGCTATTATTCATGGTCACTAAATGGAACTGTAAAAATTTGAATAAATCGTTCCCATGTACCTTCTCTTGCTTCCCATGTACCTTTACCTTGTCTAACAATTTAGTTGATTGACAGCAGTCATGTTTTGTCTCATTCAGTGCATAGCAATGAAAACAATTGCAAATTACTTTGAACTGCCTATCAATAAACCTTTTTGGGAATAATATTAATTTTCAAATTTCAGACCAAAAAAAATTTTTTTATTTTGGAGAATAAGATTTTTTGTTTGAGTTGTGTCCATACTCATGTGTCTTCTCACATAGAAGCAGTAAAAAAAGAAATAATACTCTAGGAAATGACTTGAGGATTGAAATGGGAAAATATTTTTCTCAAGGTACGTGTAAAGAGGTTCATGATTGGAATACTGTGAATCCTGTGATCAAAGATACAATAACAAACCTGTTAATTGGTATGGCGATTGAGCTACATGTTTATCCTTGTACAACACCTCTATTCTTAAATCTCTGTAGCTAGCAAACAGTCGGAAGCGCACAATAAAAGAACCATCCCRTCTGTCCAATAATTGTACCCACACTCGTGCTCTCCCTTGGCTTGTCGTTATCCTTACATCAAAAGTATTCTCCCCTGGACTTTCGGTTAAACTGGAAAAAAGGGGGTATATTAGTTTGTGAATAGGAAAAATACAGGAAATGAAAAAAGAAATAAATAAATGTGGCTTTAAGAAACAACAGGAGCCAATAATCTAGAAACGTACAGTTTTGACTCAAGACAAAATTGAAAAATTATTATTAATAATTAATTAATTATACAGCTTCTCATTAATCCCAATTTTTTCTTAATTGGACAGGTCTTGTTGATATGGGATTAATTAGGCAGCTATATAATTAATAGGTAATGGGATTTCATGCTCCCCAATCAAGAAATAATTAGACTTGAAAATTCCTCTGACTGCCAAATTGGACTCGGCCTACGGCCTCATTCAATTTTGGAAGTCCTCAGAATTTTCGTCGTCCCAATTATTATTACTTAATTGGACAGCATGGAGTGCTATTACATATACTAATTAATATCACATACTGTGGTCAAGCAATAACGAATGATGCCAGGAAGATATATCAAGAGGAAGTTTTATACAAAAAGATAATGAAACCTTCAACCCTCTAACAATATTTTTAAAACAAAGTTTAAATTTAGTCTGCGTAAATATATATCCTATAACTGTTTTGAATACCTCACTATAACGATGCCTAAATAAGTTGAATATCTTATTCAACCAGATGGTGATAATTGAATTTGCAAGACAAAAGAAAGTAAAACCCATGCTAAAGAAACTCAATTTTAATTGAAAACTTTTGAAATAAGCTATGATGTGGGCTCCCTGTGGTTTTGGTTACTACAACATTCAATGAGGTGATAATCAAGCTACTCCAGCAGAACTCCAGCAGAACTCCAGCAGATCCGAAATAATGACATAGGACTTATGTCACTGCAAAACTGAGGTGGCATGAAACCTATGAAAACTGACCAGTGAAAAATAAAAACCTGTCCACCATTACCTGGAAATCAATAATTTCAAGAAAAAAAGTAATACCTCAGTTTTGTTAATTTTCTAGATTCTGATTGGCTAACAATTTCTCTTAGATAGCTGGCTGTATRGAAGTGTGATAAATAATATTTAACATTTTGGTACAATAAATGTTACATAGAGGATATTCCATGGGCGAGCGGAGATATGAAATTTATCTTCGAGAGTTGAAAAGATCTCTCGCAAGTGGGCGCGCTGACTCGTGAGAGATTTTCAACATAAGAGAAAAATTTCGTATCTCCAAGCGCCCACGTAATACTCTGTTTATTGTATAATTATCCACAAAATCAACTTAATAAGCTTTTTATTATTATAAAGTTTTTATTTATAAACTAATAGCTTAAATACACAAGGCAAAGATATTTTCACATGTGAAAATGTTATTTTTTACATGTTATTTTCACATGTGAAAATATCAGTTTTTCAAAAAGGAGAAATATATATAGGTATTTTATGGATAATTATATGATAAATTGAAATAATCTCTTAGGTTGCCAAAGTATTGGTGGTAAACAAAAACATCGCAAGTATGCCCMCATGCAAGCTGGTAATTGGTTGCTGTTGATAAAAAAAACACATCAACAGCCAATCAGAAGTCACAGTAATGTCCCTTATGTCCTACTAAGATACAAAATATGCTCTTAAAGTCTTATTAAGTTTTAAAAATAAGTTTGGTCATGAATGAAGGAGATCATAAAAACAGATAATATTTAGATCAAGGGTCTGTTAATAATTTGAGACAACCATAAAATGATAATGTTGGTTGATTTTCAAGGGAAAAAATGAGGAAATATTATTGATAATGACACTTCAGTCTTGTATTTTAACGACAACAATCTTGAGTCCACACTGCTTGCCTACCTAAAATATCACCTGCTGATCAAACAAAAAACATACAGAACATACCGAATAATGAAAAAGTATTTGTGAACAGCTGAGAATAATACTAGTAAAATGCTCCAAAAATAATCGGGAAGATGAAAARCTTCTCTGCATGGAACTTCTATCTGAAACTACTGAGCTAAAGAAAAAATAGTTCAAGTTCAAGTTCACTCGCAAAAATGAAAAAATGAAATGAAACTATGGTTACAAAATATTGAAATAAAAAAATATATAGTTGAAAATGTTACAAAAGATCCTAGTTGTTATGATAAACGTGATCAACTAGAAAAGCTTAGAGAACGAGTAAGTTTGCTTGTGAGGAATGCTTCAGTGAAAAACTGTAAACAATGTTTTATTATTGTGTTATTATTTCCGTTCCCTGAAATAGCAGCCATTTGTGACGAATGTATGATAATAATAATAGAATAGTATGAAGTAAAGCTTCACATGAAAATAAAAAGTCGTTAGATTTAAAAAATATTAAGAGATCATGAAACGCTTAATGATTAATTTGCTCATCTACCAGTTCATTAATGAAGATATATTAAACAAAATGAGTATATTAATCGAATTTTTTAACTTACTTTCGTCCTTGAGTATCCACTGTTTGAATGAAGAAGTACCTCGCCGGGACAACAGCACCATCTCGCAAACCAGGACCCCATATTAAAGTCTTTTTCCTGCTTATTCCCGCCCCCTGAATAACTATAAAGCTTATACAGAAGGTAACGAGAAGTAGTATTTTAGAATTAAAGACCATTCGCGTGAAATACTTCGACATCTGTCTGCGCTGAGTTTGGGTGAAAAATGATCTGCGGGAATCTCCGGCCTATTTACCTACCTGAGGGACTGGGGATAGTTGGCCAGGCTACTAAATATTTCCCGCCAAAAATAGTTTGGCGCCCACTGCGCACGTGAACTACATGTGAACACATGGCAAAGGAAAAAAAACCGGATTCCCAAATTCCCATCCAATTCCCAGAGAGAACGAAATTGGGAACGTGGCACTGATTCCCAATGTTAGTTGGTTGGGAATTTTGTTTTTTCTATTGGGTATTAGAAGGAAATTCCCAACAATAAATCCCAACGTTGGTGTTGGAATTGGGAATTCAAGGAAATTTCCAACAATTCCCAATTTGGGAATCCGGGTTTTTTTCCTGTGTGGATGGTTTGATGAATTACTTTTTTCCTATTTATCCTTTCTTTCTATTCACAACCTATGAATTCAATTATGAAAACCTTAAATTCAACATGGGCCGCAAAAAATTGCCATAATTAAGGACTTTACCCCATTTTCCCTACTATTATTTCTTCTCCTTTCAGTGTTCTATCCTTCAGTTTCCAAAATGAATTTCCGTTTCACATAAGACGGGTATTTCTATCTACCCATTATCTTTCCTCTCACTCCACACCATTCCTCCCCTGCCATAAACACAGATGGTGTTGGGAGTAATCAGGAATAACGTGAACACATTAATTTGAAAAATATTTTTCGGAATTAGAACCGGCAGGTATTATTCGCTTTCGTGACTTCAAAGAAGGTGGTCAGTTTTTTTTCGTTTTTTTTTTTAATTGAAAATAAATAAGATAAATAAATAAATATCTTTAGTGTCTAGTATTTCTATGGCACTTTCGCACTAATTGGGGACACTTTACACTCACACACACCAAGGGTGGATCCAGCCAAAATTTTAGGTGGGGCTAATTGAGTTTAGGGGGGACTAATTGAGTTTCTTCCGTCAACACAACGGAAATCAATATAAAAAAGCATCGTTTTTTTCTGCTGAAGGGTAGCTTCAGCCCCCCTAGTTTGCCCCCCTGTCATATATCTGATTGTTAATGTCATACTGATCACGTGACTGTACTCTGATATATAATGATCTAGTTTGTAAACAGTGATTCAGAACTTGTACTAGCGAGAGCACGAATAAATCAATCTATAAATCTATAACATGGTGTCAGAAGTGGGATTCTGAGAACTCCAAAGAGCAATGGCGGGATTACAATGGGCAGCCCCCAACCCACCATCATTCGAAGGGAACGTTAGCGAAGCCTGGAGGCGCTTCGAGGAGCATTGGAAGCTATTCGAGAAGACAGAGTTGAGGACAAAGTCTGAGGAAGAGAAATGCTCGTACTTTCTTTTATGCATTGGGGAGCAGGGTCGAGAGATTTACAAAACGTTCAGTTTCGACAGGCCCGAGACAACCACTGATACAGATGGGGACACGGTCTGGAACAGAAAAACTACTGATTTGRTTACTGCCTTCCAGAAGTACTGCAACCCTCGCAAGAACGTGACTTACGAACGCCACAAATTCAATACCCGAAATCAAGAAGAAGGGGAAAAGATAGATCAGTACGTTACTGTCCTTCGAACACTTGCTTCGACTTGTGAGTTTTCCACTCTGGAAGAAGGACTAATCCGTGATAGGATTGTGTGCGGTGTTCGCATGCAAAGCTTAAAGGAACGCCTACTCCGCGAGACTGACCTAACGCTACAGAAAGCCATGGACATTTGCCGAGCAACGGAGGCTTCRAAAGAGCAAATGAGATCTATCAGTGACGACAAGCCAACTAGTGTGGATGCCCTGAAACACAAGGGARCAAAACATCAAAAGCAATACTCAGACAACAAACCAAGCCACACCAATCCAAACAACAGGCAGCATGGGCAACAATATGGAGACTCAAAACGAAACAAGAATTGTGGAAACTGTGGCAGAGTGCACCCACCGAAAGCATGCTTTGCATACAACAAAAGCTGTAATTCCTGTCATAAATTAGGCCATTTCAAGGAATTCTGCCGATCGAAAACAGTACAAGACCTTGAATACTCGAGCGATGAATCAAGCTCCGATCACGGCGTGGATATGGTAATTGACTCCTGCGAAACCAACGGCAAAAGCGAGGAATATGGCAAACTGAAAATAAACGAGAAGTCTATAATGATCAAGCTAGACTCTGGAGCTGAGATAAATATCCTCACTAAGGATGATTTTAATAATGCGGTCCCTAAGCATCAAAGAAAACAGAAGCTCAGAGCAAGTAACGCAAAGCTAACAGCATATGGCGGCCACAAAATACCTGTACTGGGCAAGTGCTATCTCCAGTGTCGTAACAAAAATAACAAACAAGTTCTAGAGTTTCAAGTTGTGGAACAAGGAAAATCACTCCTTGGATGCGAAACCTGTAAGAATATGAACTTTATCACATTCCATAACGTCGACAAGGTAGCT